GATTTTTCGTATTTCTGGTGTCTTTTCTTTGATGTTTATTCATTGTGGCAGGGGGTTTCACCGTCCACAGGTGCCCCGCGGCGGCCTCCGCAGCCAGAGCTGCCCCGGCCGCCTCTCACTGCCCCTCGCACTCCCGGCTTCTGGTCACGCCGCAGCCTGCTCAGTCTCTCCCCGGCTCACGGTTCCAGTGGCTCCTGGGGCCGGGGAGGCGACAGCCCCCTCCCTGGCAAATACCGCAGTCGCCGGACCCCGAGTCCCGGCGGCGGGGCTGCACAGCTCTGCCTGGCGCTGAGGGCAGCGGCGGCAAGGCCGGGTGCCGAGTGGCGGCCGCTCCCGGTGGCTTCTTCCCAGGGAGGATTTTGTAAATTTTACAAAATGGCACGCGCTCCAAACCTCAATGCACGTATTTTGAGAGTCCCCTTCAAGGTCTCAGCAATCCTTGAGAGCAATCCACCTGGGTAGTAACAGCTACCCCTGGCGCAAGCAAGGACACTAGAGATTCTGACTCACCATCAGGCTTTCTGAGTTCCTCTTCTTGCTGGTGGCCTCTGGGATCCTCCAGAATATTCTTGATTATTGTGGGTTACTTACTTTGTATTACTTGTAGTTCTTACTCTTTCTGTACTGCCTACTTCAAATATTAAACCCAAGGTCATTATTGGACATTTCCATTGAAATGGTATCAAATATATTGATCTGATGATTCCTTTTGAACCCAGTGAGATGTGTACCGCTCAGATCATTTACACCTCATACTGGTGATTGTTTTGATTTTACACTTACAATTTATATATTGTCGTGTTGCCTGTTCTTGGCTCTGTAAATTTTGTTATTGCCTTTGGCAATATTTAGTGAAATTCTTTTTTCTTTTTAAACTTGATTGACTTTCTAATCTGAATATAAGTAAATTAGTAAGATAGTGTTTTGTTTTGTTTTGTTTTGTATTTGCAAGTGTTCATCTCTGTTTTTTGTTCTTCTCAACAGCACACACACATCCCTAGGCTAATACCTGTCATAACAAGCAACTGTACCTCTAAGTCTGTAGCAGTTAGAAGGTAAATTTTAAAGAGTTTCCTCATTTTTGTTTGTTTTCTTAATAGAAGGTACTTGGCATAGAGTCTGGGACATAGTAAGCACTCACTTAATGATATTATTATTACTTTTTTAAAAATTCCTATATTTATCATTACACAATGTAATCATTTTTTGTGGCCGTGTACCAATTTCTCACTATCTCCATCCCTTGTTATTTTTGAATTGTTTAAAAACCAAAACAAACTCTAAATCTCCCTCCATTGATAAAATTTCATGTTTTAAATGTTTAATATTATTTAAGATTACTAGGAGAGAAAGATTCTGGTTCAGTAATGTATGTTGATTTTCTGCGCTTGGATAAATTCTGTATTAACATGTTATTTAGGATAGTATAAAACTAGATGACAATGACAGGCCCTTTCAGTAATGTTGCCATGAATCTCAAGTTTCTGATTGGAGGGAAACTCTTGTAACCTGTCCCTGTGGTCACAATAGGTGCTTAATTACTTCATTTGCTTTGGTTTTCAGTCAGTTCTGATTTCTCTCTTATGTTCCATTTTTGTGATCATAAAAATTAGAATAAATTTACCAGTTATAAAGAGTAGTGTTGAGTCACTCAAAAAATGTTATTTCATTTTCTCTAACATACATATTAATATGTTATATATTTCTTAACACTTTTCAGGCGCTGTTTTGAATTTTTAGATTTGCTTTTACAAGAATGGCAGACACATTCACTGGAACGGTGAGCATCCAATTTGACATTGTTTTTTCCTCTGAAATGAGATCAAATTCCTAGTGAGTGGTCTAACCCACATTCTATAACAAATGAAGGAATCTGAGCATTTGTTTTCCTGACTACTTCTGTTTTCACTGATGTGAGCCCCTACTATTGGCAGAAGCTTTTAGTGAATTTCACCAGTTGAAATATTAGTGTGCCCAGAGATGAAGGCAGATGTGTACTATGACAACCAAGTCAGGATGACTCACCCTGCTGCTTAACATTGGTAACTGCCAATGAGGGGAATGTTTAAAGCTGCTCTTAGTAGGCAGGGTGTCTCAAGTCCTTAAAGGAAGTTTGGTCATTTGAAAGTTTTGGGGTTTTTTCTCCTGCTGTATAAGAGTCAGCAGTTCTCTCTTTATTCAGGTTGGCATATGGTGATTTTCACATCATCATGATAAAAAGTAGAATTGTGGCAGAATTCTTGAAGAAGCGTGTCTCTATTAATTTTGAGATTCCTTCTTTCATATTTTTAGTTCCTGCCAACTTTAGGTGCCTCTTGTTTTTTCTGAGTTAAATTTGGAGATAGTAGGTGATGATGTTGTGCCACACACTTTTTAATGATGCATTGCATAGTTTGTGAAGAACTTTACAATGTTAAATATTTGATTAGTAGTGGAATTTTAAGTAGTAGGAGTTCCATTCCAGGCTGCAGTGGTCAGAGATGAAACAAAGCCAAGCTTCCCAGAGGTAAAATTTCATCTGAAAATAAATATATCTACGTTTTTTCAGTACTTTCCTGTTCTTTAATCTCTTGGGTATTATATTCTATTTGGTGGTGGTTTTGGAATATAGAGGTGGAAAGTGGAATGAGGGATTTAATGTGGGCACAGGTGAGCAGAACAGAAAAGCCTGAAGACCCATTTGTAGCCTCATGTGTTCATTCACCTCCTCGCTCTGCCTGCCGCTTAGCAGGTCCTCACTAAGGACTTATTGAAGGTATGAAGGAGTGAGGCAAGGACTTTGAAGGGTCTGGTCAAATTGGTCAATAGTCTTTGTTGTCTGAACTTGTTGAAACTATTCATTCCAGTCATTTCCCTTCTCTTAAAACTAAAAAATTCAGCAAGATATTTTAGTAGGTGAACTTGAAAAAATGTTATTTCATTATAGAAATGTGATTCAGACAGCCTATTTAGTATTAAATTGATTATCTCATTATAATTTCCAGAGAAACTAGTTCTGACCATGGAAAAACAGTGTTTTGTTGTTCAAGTTTATAAAAGATTGAACTAAATAAATAATTATGGCTTGAAAAAGTCAGCTGTTTTGTAAAAAATCACACAAGAGATCAGGGTTATCACAGTTCTTAGGTGTGGGTGGGTTGGGGCTGGGGATATAGGGTATTAGGACAGGATTAGAAGTTAAAGGACCTGAAAGAGTATTCTGATCTAAGCTATGTGTTAATTGACTCACCTTGGCATAGAGGCTCTAAGTTCAATGTTGCCATTTTGAAGTTATTTCTCATAACTGATTTAATCTGCATAAAACCATACATTTATGAGTGTTATTGCTTTCTTTTCTAAATACCTAGGCACATATCAGTATTAGCTGAAACAATAAAGAAAGGAATACACGATGCTGATTCTGAAGCAAGGATAGAAGCCAGAAAGTAAGTTTTTATTTTAGACCACTTTTTTATTAAACACTTTTTATTTCTCATACATTGTGTGGATTGCCTTATTGAAAACTCATTAAGTTACTTGAACATATTTTGTTAATCGTGACTTTTAAATATGATACCAAAAGGCTATTTAAGAATATTTCTCTAGATTTTTGTTTAGGAGGTTGACTGAGTGATATTATTTGAATATAAACTGTACTTAAGAATACCACAGAATGCTCATTTTTAAATTTATGAGGAATTATCACATAGGAAAGTTAAGTAGCTTGCCCAGTGTCAAAAAGCCAGTAAGTTGTGGGGCCAGAATTCATGCCAGGCTGCCTTTGTTCACCCTCTCTTCCTTATACCATGTTACTAACTGTCAGAGGGTAAACTGAGGATTCTAGTGCTTGAAAATGTTATGTGGTATACTCCAGAGCTCTGCGAAAAACCTGGAAGTTAGGATCCACAGACTAGCCCAGGAATTTGTGTGTTTTCCCTAGATGTTATTGGGGTTTCCACAGTCACTTCAGCCGAGAAGCAGAGCATTTATACCACACCTTGGAGTCCTCCTACCAGAAAGCCCTGCAGTCACATTTGAAGAACTCGGACAGCATAGTGTCTCTGCCTCAATCTGACCGCTCGTCTTCTAGTTCTCAAGAGAGTCTGAAGTAAGCAATTCAGCCTTGCTTTTCATTACTGTGAGGTTTACATTTAAAAGTTTGCTGCATGAAAACACAAATTCCAGCTGTGTTTTTACATGTGTGTGCTTGTTATAACTCAGATTCTTACTTCAAGTAGATTCTGGTACATGAGGAATGGTAAGAAATAGGTGGCCTTGGTCTCTGCCATAAGTGGTTTTCAGTTAAATTTATGTGTGTGTGCTTGTTATAACTCAGATTCTTACTTCAAGTAGATTCTGGTACATGAGGAATGGTAAAAAATAGGTGGCCTTGGTCTCTGCCATAAGTGGTTTTCAGTTAAATTTATGTGGCAGCCCTAGAATATAGCTTTAGAACCACATGAGTGAATTATAGAATAGCGGGAACATTAATGCTTCAGAGCGTCTTCTAAGAGGAGGGAAGTGTCAGCCTGGAGACAAGTTTGCATAGGGAGGGTATTCAAAGTTTAGGCCTTAATGTGGTATCATCTTTGCTCTGTATTTCTAATTTCTGCCTCTAGTTTCTATTTTCCTCTCCATGTTTGAAAGGTAGTCCAATATATAATGCTAAAGCTTTGTCAGAAATTAAGCGCTTATAATATTGTGGTCCAAATTGCCTGGAAAATTGTGAAAACTCTGAAATAATTCTTTATTATCATAATTTCCTGTTGTAGTTTGTACTTGTGTTAATGCAGATAAAGTGCACATTTGATAATAAATAGATATGTACCTTTATTTTTAGTCGGCCGCTCCCTGCCAAAAGAAGTCCTACTGGAAGCACCACATCTAGAGGTAAGACTAGCAGCCACAGAGCAGGCCTGCTTCTCAGTCTCAGGTCAGCCTCGGGGGGGTTTGCAGCTCCGAGAAGCTGCTCAGGTACAGGAAGCCAGTGGCCTGCTCTCAGCTCCTTCTCAGTGTGAGTAGTGTGCTGCTGTGTTGGCTCCTCTGACTGTCCACAGCAGAGTGCTGTTTTGCCAGGGGTCAGTCACTGCCGAGGACACTGTCAGGATGACAGGCAGACAGAGATTAAGCTCTGTGACCTTTTCTCCCCCACCTCCTTCCAACATGTTGATTCTGCCACAAATAGTGCTGCTCCTTTCTCTGATCACTTGGTAAGAGAATGCAAACAACTGGTGATGTTTTGAGCAGCAGTAGGAGCAGCTTGGTGGCCGTCAGAGGTGGGAGGGTGGCATGTGTCCAGGAGGGGCTCTGTAGGTGAGAGCCCACTGCACACTTATGCCACAGCATGAGGAGGCTGGCCAGGCAGGAACATTTGTCATGATTTCACTTCTCCTCATAGGAACCAGAAATATGGTCCATTTCTTTGGGGTTTATAGTCTTTGATTACAAGAAAACAAATGTAATAGATATGTTACAGTTGAGGTCACTTTTAGTTCCCTTCAAGCATGGCCTGAACTCTGTCTTCAGTGACCACCAGAAACTTGGTCAGTCCTGTGTGCTCTAATATTTGTTAAAACTTGGTATTTGTTTTCAAGAAAAGCAAAATAACATCGAGTTTTAACAATGTATGTTTAAAATTTTATGTAGTCCTTACTAATCTTTCCTCCTTCACCACTAAAGCTTCTACAGTTAGTACCAAATCTGTGTCAACGACTGGGTCCCTGCAGCGGTCTCGAAGTGATATTGATGTGAATGCAGCAGCCAGTGCCAAATCCAAAGTCTCCTCATCTTCGGGAGCGGCTCCTTTCAGCTCTGCAGCAGCTTTGCCTCCAGGGTCATATGCATCCTTAGGTAACCACACCCTCTGCCACCCCTCCCTCCCATTCTGCTGATCCAGAGGACGCTTACCCTTAGCTAATTACAAAAAACCATAATTGAGGGAATTCTCACTGTTGGAGGGCTGATTTTTAAGCGTAGGTAGCTTTGTGCACTTACTGCCAGCTAACAGCCACCCTCTGGTGAGTGTTCCTTTCTCTGGAGCACCATCCTTTTTAGTGATGAGTAAGTTCACTTGTGCTTGTCAGGGTGTGGGGCACTGAGCCCATCCGCCCTCAGCTCTCTTCCTCCTCCTTCATGGCAAGCTTAGTACCTAAGCCACCTCCCATAGCTCCAAAGCTGGAGATTTTCTCCCCTCCTGACACTGGTGGGAGCAAAGCCAGAACAGTTCAGTGAGGCGGTAGTCACCAGATCATTGTGTTTCTCAATTTGAGAATATGACCAGAGTAGGGGAGGCTCTGGGGCTGGGGCAAGTGACAGGAGACTCTAATGGAATGTGATGGATTCCTTAACCAACATTCCTTAACCCACACCAGTACAAAAGAGTGTTGTCCTTCCATGTGTCACTTAGGCACAAGCTGTCACTCTAATGATTGCCCAAAAGATTTTTTTAAATTATTTTCAAAGATTTTAATATGTGACATAATAGTAGGTCAATTGCTCATTTTTTCATCAGACACTTAACACCTACTATGTATAAGGCTTATCATTTATTTCATTTTATTTTTATGGAGACCAGGTTATCCAAAGTCAAAATCTGGGGACTTAGCTGGATTGGTTTTATTTTGGACTTCAAGGAAATGAATAAAATTTAAACTTCATGAAATACTGAGACAGTTACTTATGTGGCTTACAAGTGAATTCCAAAATCAGTTCTAGAATGAATGTTCTGAAAATGGTTTGAGCTTTGGAAGCACAGTGAGAGAACAGCCTAGGGAAGGTTCCTGGGTCTGCGGTTCATTAGCTCTGTGACCTTGAGCAGACCATGGAACTTTTGAGTCTGTTTTCCCTACCCGTAAATTACTTGTAATGATAGCCACCTAACTCAGATACATGATAGGATAAATGAAATTACATAAAGGTCCTTTGTAAACTGTCCTGTAAGGTGGAAGAAAGTATGATTGTGATGGTAACACTATTGATTTGAAGGGTATATGTTCGGGAATATTTGTTCACTCAATCTTGTTTTCTCTGTGGAAATACCTCATACACACATATATTTCCATTGGGAAAAAACCCAAATAGAATTTTTTTTTTTAATATCATTATGTAGGCGCGTTATGATATTATGTTGATATGTAATTACTGAGCAAGGGAGAAGTAACAACTCTTCTCTCCTGTGGTGAATTAGTTGTGTTAACCTCATACACACATATATTTCCATTGGGAAAAAACCCAAATAGAATTTTTTTTTTTAATATTATGTAGGCGCGTTATGATATTATGTTGATATGTAATTACTGAGCAAGGGAGAAGTAACAACTCTTCTCTCCTGTGGTGAATTAGTTGTGTTAAATTTAATTCAGTTTTTAACTACTTTCCTGTGTTTCAGTACATTTGATCCACCTTTAGTATGTGTAATTAGTATTTGTTTCAGTGCTGGAAAATGAGAGTAAAAACCAGCTGTTAGAGTACTCAGTAGTCTTTGGGGTTTTTTTTGTTTTTTTTTTTGTGCATATTTGGGGTGTTTGAGTATGGATTCTATAGGCTTCCACCAGTGCTAGTGAAAGCCCCAGGTCTTTTGGTATGATGGTATAGAACTCACCCTTCAGAAGCACTGATGTTAAGTTTTCAGCCCAGTGTGTAACCTCTTCAAAGAACAAGACTGGAATATTCAGATTCTCTTATCAATTCCTGAGAATTCTACCTCTACTTTCCTTATTATGTACCAAAACCAAACAACACCAAAAAACTGAAATATAACATAATCCTACTGAAAAGTTGTTACAGTTACTACTTAGGTTAACACATGACGTCTATGCAAAAAATGTAGCATTAAAGCTGATGGTCCTTTTCCAAATTCTAGAGTCCAGACACATGAGGGAAGACATGGAGTACGTAGGCCTGGACGCAGGTACCATGCGCGGGAGCTTCTGCTGCTGGACGTGTAGTTGGGATAGGCCTTGCTAGAGCTAGCTTCTCTGGGCTTCTTACTTGCCTCTGGCCTTTAGGTGACTCTTCAGTATTTTAGTTTTTAGTCCCTCCTCTCTGCACCTCCTTCCTACTAGTACTTTCTTCCAAGAAAAAGGAACTCTTACGAGGGTAAGAGTTGGCCAACACAAAAAACAACAATCACTTTTCCAACTGTGGCACTACCCTGGGTTGCCCTTTGGTGTTATTTTCCAAAGACAAAACTATGTTATACCATGCTAAGCTAATTTCAATATAAGGCACTTATTTGTTCCAGACTCTGCTTTGCTGTTGAACTGGGTTCCCTTTCAATTTTGTTTTAAATTGTACTTTTGCCTTTTAGTAGCTAATAACATTCTGCTTTTTAATTTTTTGAATGTTACTAACTGTTCCCTGTTATCCCTTTCCTTGTTTTTTAATTTGCTTAAAGATGGTACTACCACTAAAGCGGAGGGTAAGCGGTTTGTTTCTGTGATTGAGCTGTGTCTCGCTTCCTCTGGTCCTCTGTTCTCACCAAGTGTTGCCCGGTGCCCACCGTCCTCTCTGAGGTCCCTGCATGAGATGTTGCACGCTGTTTTCCCTCCTCTCTTCTCCATCCTGTCTCCACTGGGTTTTCCCTACCCTGCCTCTACATGACTTCTCTGCCTCTCTTGCTCAGTCTTTGTTTTATGAATTTTGGCACTGAAATATGCTGTTCGTGGTTTTTAATGCTGAGTCCACACTCTGGGGAGGAGCACTGATGTCACATTGTGTGCTATGTCCTCGTGGGCTGCCTGTCTTGGGTTTTATTGCTCCTGAAGCACCACCTTAGCTTTTGTTCTTTTTCTTTCCTTTCCTTTTCTTTTGTGCTTTTGTGGGCCTCTCAGGATTTGCCTGTCCTGTTTTGAAAATAAATTTCAATGTCAGTTACTCAGGTTAAAGGCTGGTAAAGATTTTCTACCAGGTAATTGAAAGAAATTTTTTTTAAAAACAACTTTTCTTTCCCCTAAAAGTACCACTGAATCATATGATGCCATTTTTATTTGTATCACTGACACATGCCCCATTCATTCATTTACACTCTCATTAATTCATCAGCCATGTATTAGATGCCTTTTATATGCCATGTTCTATACTACACACCAAGGATATAGCGTGGTGAAAGAAATAGGCCTATCCAAATCGACTTTATTTTCTTTCTATGCCATTCTCAAGAAGCTCTTTCTGATTTGGCATTGCCTTTTGAATTTTATACAGAGCTGTTTTAGTCTAGCCCATTCCAGACATTATCATCCCTTTGCAAAGTATCAAGTTAGAAAGCATGGCAGTACTTCAAATAATTGAAATTTAGAGGAAACTTCTCCTCTTAAGATAGTGGCTTAGACCCACCAGCATTTGGGTGATGACTTAACAATTAGGAACAGCTAGTTCATTTTCATATATTATTTAGCCACCCTATAAAGGGCAAGCATGCAAAGTGGACTGGGTTTAGCTCAATCTGCCCAATTTGGTTCTTTTAATCCATATGCTGCTTCCCAAGGGACTCATAAAGGAAAAAATAGGAATGGAATTTTTTTAAGGTGAACATAGTCCTAAGATCAATGTTTCTCAAACTTATCTATAAGAATTACCTGGATGCTTACTAAAAAAACAGTCCTGGGTCCATCTCCTGAAGATGCTGATTAATTTAGAAAGATCCAGAGAATCTGAATTTCCTGCAAGTCTCACTGGTGGTTCTTAGGGTTGGAAAAGATTATGAAATGAAGAGATTCCAAAATGAAGAGATGGACGACAAGAACCTTTGTCATGACCAGGACCTCATTTGTGATAGCAGAAAGCTGAGTCTGGTGTGATTGTGAAGCTGGGGGATCATTTTCTTCATTTATTCAGCTGATAGGAGTAATTTTATGTCTCTCCTTCCCAAAGACACAATCCTAAGTGTTTCCTCAGCCTCACTAGAAGGGAAGTGGGGGAGTGGACTAGAATAATGAAGATGAAGTGGAAAGCGAGACATTATGTGGAATATTATATTTTTTCCCGGAATGCCCTGATTTCACGTGCCTATATAACAGAATTGAAATCAGCCTGTTTTTTGACCCAGCCCTAGGAATTGTTAACTTTTTTTATTTTTCCTCAGTTCCACTGCCCTAAGCAAGGTCAGAGTTGCTGTCTCAATTATTATGTAAGAGACTAAGTCTCTTTCTAGTTCTCCTTTCGGTAGGAGAAATGGTGGCATGATATATGGGCCCTTAATTTTATAGAGCTCAGAATCAGACAATAAAAAGCTTCTTTGGTGGAGCACAGTGCATGTCAGTGTCTGTACCAGGGCTGCGCAGGCTGTTGGCAACACTGGCCAGGCAGAGCCTACTGTGATGAAGACAGGACACATGTCCCTGGGAGACCTGTAAAATTTACCACTTATAGGCTGTTGTTGTTCTGTTTGTTTCAGCAATGAAATTTAGAGAACCAGTGATGTTTAGAAAAGCCACCGGTAGTTATTGGGCAAAGGCCCCAGTATCACTTGGTGTCTTGTCAGTATGAGTTTCCCAGCTGTAGTTTTGAAATTATTATAGGATTTTTAAAAATTTGTTAATAAGTAAAAAAAACACACACACACAAAGAAAATTTGTTAGTAAGTCTGTTAAATATATTACTGTCTAGTTCCTAAGACAAGAAGAGATAGATACTTTCATTATTATGAGGCAAAGATATGGTCTTGAATTAGTAGTTGGGTGCTCTAAATTAAAAGTTCAGGCAGTACATTTGAATTCTGGCAATTACATTACACTGTATTATGTAATTGAGAAAAATATGTATTCTTCAGGAGTTATTTATTGTACACATCAAGGGACCCTTCTAACATTAATGACTAAAAAATATTCTTTTAAAGAACTAAAACAACTTTTGGACAAAAGTTTATTTTTAGGTTATCTTTCATTATATTATGTTCAGTAAAATTTGGGGGATTTGGATGAAATAAGCATTTATATTGTATATTAGTTGTTCATGAGAATGCTCATGATTAGATGTCACAGGGTGAATGAATGCACTCATACTATTTTATTAATGCTAATATGTTTAGGAAAAGTATTATTCATATTTTTCCACAAAATAAATAATTAGATTTTATAATAATTACATATTATATATTATATGTTAATTATATGTAATTATAGTTATATATTATATTTTAATAATAAACAATTAGATTCTTAACTGAACTTAGATTTTAGTTCAGTTTTACTGAGAAATAAAATATTTGGTATTGCTGTCTTTTTATCCAAGAACTCTGAATGTTAAATAATTGGCCTTTTTACACAATGGAAAAAATACGTACTTCTGTATATAGAAGTAAAAGAGGGGCTGGCCAGACAGCTCACCTGGTAATAGCATGGTGCTGATAATACCAAGGCCAAGGGTTCAGATCCCCATACCAGCCAGCTGGAAAAAAAAAAAAAAAAAAAAAAAAAGGTAAAAGAATGTGTCAAGCCTTTTACATTTATCTTTTAAAAATCTGAAGGAACTCACTCTTTGGAGGAGTAGTTATAGGTAGCACCATTACAAGTAATCAAGTTTCCCACTTTTTGTTCTATCAAAAATACCATGTAAGAGTAGAGGCTGGTATAATTGTACCCCAAGCAATGAGATGTAAAACAGATATGTATGCCAAAATGTCGTAATGTGATGAGAATTGAGATTTACTTAGAAGATCTTTTAATTTTATAATCTGTAAATAGGGAATTTACTGAAAAATTTGAAACATGTGGGGGACAAAGAACCCCAGTAATGTGAGGCTGTGTAGTAGTTTTTCAATTTCCTTAGGCTAACCTGAAGTCATGGGAAACCATGCATGCAAGTTAAACCTGGTACACAGGTTTATTTCTCCTGTCTTGGGATCTTTTATAGAAGAATAGCAGTGTGATTGAAAAAGAGTGTTTAGCAGCAGTATTAAAAGGCCAGAAGATGTGAATATTCTCTCTTTATTCCATGAAAGTTGAAGGTTTTGAACTCCTCTTACAATTCTTTGTTTTTCTCTGGGTCTGCTTTTTTTCTGGTTAGGTTCATTTGTTGATGCATCTCCCTCCAGAATTTTTTCTGTTGTTCAGTTATTTATTTATTTATTTACTTACTTACTTACTTACTTACTTATTTATACTTATGCTGACTGTTTTTTCTTTCACATCTGCTGTCTTCTTTCTCTCTGTGTCTGTCACTTAATAGATCATAATATAGAGCTGAAGTATATTTTTACTGTTGGTTGTATTTATTGGGTAGAATGTTCTTGTACTGAAGACCACAGAGCATTTTATATCATCTCATTAAAACATACACAGGCATTTATAGTAATATTGCCAACTCAGTAGAATGGAAACAAAACAAAATAAGAAACATCTCTTTCTATAAAATAAATATATATCTGAACACAGCATAACAGAGGCCCTTTAAACTACATAGCAGCATTCCCAAAGAAGTAAGGAAAGTTCAAAACCAACAAGAGAATCAAAAACTTGAGTGATGAGTTTGAACTAATTTTTAAGGCTGCCCTGAGGGTTTAGTTATTAATGTGAGTTACTAGGCAGACAGAAAACACAACCTTGATCTCACCCAAGGTGAAAATTCAGAGTCGGCATTAAGCCAGCATTGTCAAGGGACTATATTTCCATGAAAATGTAGACTAATAGGGGGAAACCCCTCTTTATCTTCAAATTGACATGATGTCTGTTTTGACTTTGCCCTGGACAGAGGGGAAAAAGTATCTTCCTAGTAATTTGTAATTAAGCTCTCTACTCACACAGGTTGTGGTTTCAATTTACATTACCTACGATGTCTGGGAAACTCCAGACTGATGAATTAAAGTGGTCTGATTTATATTGCTCCCAAGGGAACCTGACAGGAGCACCCATTCCACAGAGGAAGCCACTCTGAAATCTGGTTCCTCAAGTTTCCCACAGATTAAAATTATCCAAATGTGAGATCATAGTCCAAAATTACATCCATCATGAGTGAGATGCTGCAGAGAAAAAGAATAAAAACAGAATAAACCCTTAAGGACTTAAGGATCTGTTACAGAATATAAAATAACAATATTTAAAGTATTTAAATGAAACAATATTCTTGCATTTTTTAAGCAATATATACATTTTAGTAGCCAGAATGATCCTCCCATTTGAGAACATATCACCAATCTGGAATAAAAGCAGTGAACACACACAGCTCCAAACCCAAGCAAAAGCAGGAGTCCTTGTAAGTGAGAGCCAAGCTGGCTTTCATCCTGAGGTTTTTGGCTGAACCCTGGAGTCCTTGGACATTTGCTGTGATGACTGCACAGGACCTAAAGAACCAGAGGTAAACCCAAGCCCATCTAAGATCTGTATTGTCATTGGAGAGCAAGAAGTCAACTTTACTAAACTGAGGAGGACAACAGGGAAATTTGCCCATCTTACCTTTGGTACTGGTTGGAAGGGGGAAGTAATC